ATATATATATATATATATATATATATATATATATATATATATATATATATATATATATATATATATATGTATATATATGTATTTATATGTGTATATATATATATATATATATATTTTTTTTTTATATATATATATTTTATACGACTAAATATGCTTTCAATCATTTCCAATTGTGTGTTTACCTACAGATAATAATGCATTTGATCTCGACATATATGGACACGCAATTGGAAGCACCGTTGGATCAACCAGACGCTAGACCGTTCACTTCAAGATACATGGCGAGATCTGGAATGGAATTGCCGCGAAACAAAGGTCCGATCATTGTCTGTCAGTCTGTGAATCCTCCGCATTACAATCTTGCATTGTCCGGTGATTCACTTTTGAGCGATTACGAAGAAATACAACGGGTAATCGAAATTATATATTTTGGAATTTTATTGTTTAATTTCATCAATACTGGAAAAGTTACTTTTGAAAAGTAACGCGTTACCGTTGCTCAAGAAATAATACTTTCCATTACCTTTTTCACTAAATTTTGAAGACTTTTTTCTAGAATTTGCTTCTGCTCGTCCTATATACATATATTTGATATATATTTACATGTATTTGATATATATAAAATAATGATAACAATTGTAATTGTTATTGTTACCTAAAAAATTTAATTGAATTATAGTTACTAATGAACAAAAAAGTAACATCATTACAAAGTTATTTACTTAAAAAAATATCTTATAACGGAAACAATATTTTTTATAAGTAACGTTTTACTTCTCTCTCTCTCTCTCCCCAACTTTGAATTTTATAACATAATTTTATGCATAGTGCGTTTATATACATCATTTTATAACAGTATTTTTATTTTTAGGGACGTAATAATCTGTTCCATACGCTCTTACTTTTCCTATACATAGTCAAAACACGAGATCACGGTATGCTAGGCAGAGTTAATGCCGGAACATCCGGCATCAATATACTGTGGGTGATAGATGGCTAAAAAAAGTCTTATCCTACTTAGAGAAAAAATAAAATGTAATTGACTTCCTGATAAAATGCGATTGACATCCTGAACGCCCAGGATTACTCTTAATGCGATACCTTGACTGATCTTTTGTATCTTTGATATGTACCGTTCGTCGATTTAACAATTGCAGTCAAGAAAAACATTAAGAGCCGTGGCACACAAAAAAACAAACAGTAAGAAAATTGACCAATTACAATCGATTATTCTCGGACCATAAGAAGAATCATCAACTGTTGGTCAATTTATTTACTGTTTAAGTTGTTCTGTGTATTCCTGGCCTTATAGATAGATAGGTTTATTTATACGGAGAAAAGATGCGGAAACTGCGTTATGCAACGAATACTCGAATAAGTGTCATGAACTTTTTTATTCATATATTTGCGGTTATGTACAAAGAGATCGGAAATTATGGATTCATGACGGTTATAAATTTTTCACTTGCGAGAAAACTATCAGCACATATAACTTTTTGTATATATATATGATGCGTACGTCCGCTTTTCGAGACTGATGAGAACTGTTATCAACAATGGTTGTATTGTAAAATATATATATGTATTATATGTACTTGGTATGTATGTATACCATTTTTATACATTATCAAGATGAAAAACACACATCCCGGTGGTAACCTCCGGTAATAACTTTGCAAGCTCGTAAGTGTGGAAAATAATACACAGCAGTCAGACATTCTGTTCTGTTCTATGTGGCATCAGACATTCAAGTTCTCGCGTTTATATCGCTGTATTACAAAATGATATCAGACATTCAAGGTCTCGATTATATCAGTGTACTACAAGATCACATTCGGATAATTTGATCATTACCTCAATCATTTTACACATATTGTAAGATATTGCATTTCTTCTCACGTCCAACTACACAGAAAGAAAATGTGAGATGTGTTGAAATCTCCAAGTGTCATCACCATTATTGCCGTCATTGAGACACATATCCGATATAAAAAGAAAAGTAAGTTTTTCATCACGAGGTTCTATAATTTATTGTATTATCTTTGGGTTATAATGCATTGTAAAATTACAAATGATTCCTTTCTCTCGCAAATGGAACCGATGTGTATGTACAATAAGTTGATACAATAAAGTTTGATAAACTCAAATACCGTGAACCACCGACATATAAGATTAGAATGAATATTTATGCAACAGAATCTAAATACGAAATCATACCTTGCTATATATTGTAACAATGTTTATGTTAAACATCTATACATTTAACTGATAGTCATAATAATCTTAAAAACTGTTACACATAGCGCAGTAAATCATTATTGCAATTGCGGGTAGTCCAGGATTAGCTTAATTTTTAAATTTACTATATTCGGACTTTTTTGCGGGATCTTTGCACGTATTATATATTATTTGTTCAGCAGAAAAAGATTGAGAAGTCAGTAGCTCTTTATATGTGCAAGCATATAAGAGTAAACAATAGTCCCTGGATATAAATTAAACCCAGGATGTCGATGTTGCAATATCACTTAATACATTCTTCATGCAAGATTAAAAATTAAAGCAATAAGCACATTATTTTTTTTTTCTTGTTTTTTGGAATGGGAATACCAATCATGATAATTCTTTATAATGTCAGATTCTTGAATCATTCATATTATTACTCCATGTTGTAAGTAAGGTACGACCTTGCGTGTGGCAAAATTTATATATATAAAAAAAGACAATAAGCAATGACGTTAATAGATTTATGGCTCTCAGTAGATTCGCGAACGTACCTCTCGCACTGGATGTCCGTTAAAGTGGAGAAAAAAGAAAAGAATGGAAGAACAAAATAATTGGAAACCGACTTATAGCATTACTTATTATATTATATATATAAGTTTTAAGTATTTAAGCTATTTTCTTAGATAATACCATGTCTTAAAAAGGAAATCTATCTATATTACATATACATTTATGACAAACACATCTTATTATTCTTTCTCATCAATCCCTGTATCTCCTTCTTTTTCGTAAAATGATTTATCAAAGACCTTTGTTTTTTATGTATTCAGATGATACGCCTTACACGCCTTGTGGAAAGATACAATTCTGTACAGGTATCTTTTACGCGGTCAGCGACGTCCGTCAGTGGTTCATCGGCTCAAATCACTGAGGAAGATCGAGAATCGCTAACGGCATGCGTGCTCTTTGTCAACTCGCCGTTGATCGCTCCACGCGATGCTTCCTCTCAGAGTTAAGCGAGTCACCGACGAGTGTCGTCAACGCATATCGGCATATCGGCATATCGGCAATGCGGCATATCTCTACTGAAACTTCATAAATTATGTATATATATACGCCTTCACCGTTGCAAAAATAAACCTCGATATGAACGTTTCATACATAATAGAAATGATACTCTCCGAAATCTGCACTTGTATGCATTATTCAATAGTAATATCTAGCATGTGGAACATGACATCGAGACGACCCATACCTCTCTCCTTTTCTCTCTGCTTTTCTTTTTCGTTAACGATGCGCTATATTGACGATACCAATGTCGCTGATGTCTGCGATATTGTCGGATAATTGCGACTCACAGTTAACTGCCGGTTACGCACCGCTTTTCCAACGTGATCGGAAATTGCAGAAATGTGAACGGTAAAACGGCCGTCAGGTTTTGGCGGTGAACAAAGACAGAGTTGTGTCGACTCGTCGATCACCTTCAGCGATCTTTTGTTTTTTTGCGTCAAAATGCAGACTCGCTTTTTTCCTTTTGTGTCGTGTCTTCGTTTTTACTTTCTTTTCTTCTAGAGAAAATAGTATTTCACCGAGTCCGTGAGATATCGTCAATCCGGATTACGTCGTCGTGAATATCTTCGTACCCTCCGGCAGTATCACCTCCTCGCCAACATCAGCGAGGGTGACGGTGAGCGGCAATATCAACGGCATTAATATTTCCTGATGCTGCATCACCTGGTGCGCACCTACTATTGTCGGTTCGATAACGGGCTGTCTTGCGATAGCAATTGTCTTAATGTTCTGCGCCTTCACCACTTGCGTCTGACCGAGCATCATTCTCGGCTGGAGCACTTCTTGTAGCTGCACCTGAACATGCTGAGGTGCCTGCAGAATCTGTTGTGCCTGGTGGTGCTGTTGTTGCTGCTCCTCCTCTTCCTCTTGTTGCTGCTGCTCTTGAAGTTGTTGCTGTTGCTGCTGCTCTTGAAGTTGTTGCTGTTGCTGCTGCTCTTGAAGTTGTTGCTGTTGCTGCTGTTCCCGCTCTTGTTGTTGCTGCTGCTGTCCTTGTTCCTGCTGCTGTGCTACACGATTCTGATTCTGTAGCATGTTCTGCTTGCAGCGCTTACTATGCGCGTAGCGGCTGCCATTGTTGTTGAACTTGCGATCACAGGTTGGACATTCATAGGGTCGTTGGCCAGTGTGGATGAACGTGTGCTCTTTGAGCGACTTGAGCCGACGGAAATTACGCGGGCACAGCTTACAATGATACTTTGCTTCACCGGTGTGCGAAGTCAGGTGGTTTGAAAGCGTATCTGCGCGGGCGAAGGCGCGCGAGCAATATTGGCAGATGTACGGTCGCTCCTGTGTATGCGTGCGCATGTGCATCTTCAGATAGGCGTTAGTGGTGAACGGTCGGGAGCATACCTCGCACACATACGGCTTAATGCCGTTGTGGGCGCGCAAGTGCGCTATCAGCGTAGTGGACTGCGTGAAGCTCTTAGAACAGATCTCGCATAGGAATCTCTTGGTGGTGTCACTTTCTTTCTTCTTAAACATACGGTCGTGCTTGGATAAGTGGGCAATTAGCTGGTCCTCCTTGATGAAGCGCTTAGTGCAGCGGTGGCATTTGTACGGCTTGACCATGTTGTGCTTGGCCACGTGGAGCTTGAGATGCTCGCGCCGGTAGAACTTTTTCGGACAAATGTCGCATAGAAATTTTTTGCCCTCGTGCACTTGAATATGTCGCAGTAAGCCTTTTCGTGAGGTATATTGCTTGTTGCATTCAGTGCACTCGAGGCCCACGATGTCGGTGCGCCTCTTGCGTACAATTTTCTCTTTCTTCTCCTCTCCGTCAGACATCGGCTCCAGGTCCATTAGATCTTCTTCGGTCAGAATGCCCTCGGTCACATGGGTCACGCGGTGTATACGCAGCATCTCGTGGTTCTCGAATCGGTCGCCGCAGATGCTACATTTCCTCACTTGATCCGGGTTCTTCTCCGAGCACTTGTCATAGTGCACCTTCAGCTTATCCTTGCGGTAGAACTTGAGGTTGCAAATGTCGCACTCAAAGTTCGGTTCCTCATGCAACAGCTGGTGCCGTTGCAGCGACTTCTTCGTGGTGTAGCGCTTTTTGCACGTGCTGCACTCATGAATGTCCATCGGCCAGTCCATGCCACTGTCGAAATCCGAGTCGTTATCACGATGATCGCCCAGGTTACTTTCGATCTTCATCTTCTGTCTCTTCTCTAAAACAGCCTTCTTCAACTTCTCTTCCCTCAGTTGATGTGACTCCAGATGCCTCATCAGCGACTGCTTTGAGCTTAATCCCTTGTGACATTGGTCGCACTCAATATGTTTCGTGCCATTATATTTCTTTGGCTTACGCTTAGGATGACCGCTCAGTATAGCATAAGTTTTATAGGTCTTGTCATCATTACCATCGTCGCCCAAATCATCTATCTCGACCTCCGTCTTGATTTTGTCGATGATCTTCTGCGCCACTTTGGCGGCCACGCGCTTCATACGCTTATTGGGATCGTACTCTTGTCCGTACATGAATGTCTTGTGGTTCGTGGAGATCAGATGATTTCTCAGAGTGAACTCATTGCCGAAGGTCTTGTTGCACTGAGTACACTTGTAAGTCTTGACACGGCCGTGCTGTTCGACATGTCTACGCAGCTGATCCTTCTTCGAAAACTGTTGGCCGCATATTTTGCAGCTGTAAATGTTGGTCCCGCAACGCGTCTCCATGTGTTTCACTAGCGTTTTTCTGCGTGTGAACGTCGCCGAGCACTTAGGACACTTGAGCTCCTTCGTTTCGACCTCCTCCGCTTCGAACTCCTTCTTGACTTCGCCGTTTCCGTCATCATTCTCGTTCTCCTCACCCTCGTCGTCGTTGTCGTTCCTGTTTTCCCCTTCGTCTTCGAAGATAGAACCTTCGCCTACTTCCTCGTTGTTTTCGGCGCTCATCTGCTTCATGTCCCCGTCTAGATCCTGCTCACTCAGTATACCCTCGACTACATGCCTAGTACGGTGGATTTGCAACACATTTGCGGACTCAAACGTCTTCTTGCACACTTCGCAATCGAAAGCGGGGTGTCGCGCGGACATGTGCCTCTGCAGACCTCGCTTCGTAGCGAATAACTGTAGACACCTGTCGCACGAGAAATCGGTGCTAGGGCTCAACATCGGTGCTGGCTTTTTCTTCTTAATCTCGCTGTTCTTCTCGATCTGTTCGACGTCATAGTCGTCATCGTCGCTATCGTCGTCGTCATCATCCGGCGTCACGTAAACTTTCCGTTCTTTTCTTCTCGTCCGCCTTCTACCTTCTGTATCCGTATCATCCAATTCCATAAATTCTTCCTCGACGACCGGCACGTCGATAAGCATCGAGTTGTACTCCTCTTCCTTTTCCCGTTCATGCATCTTCATGTGCTTATTAAACGAAATTATGTACAGGTATTCTTTGCCGCATTGAGGACATTTATTAGCTTTCTTGCCGGATGGCGGCGTCGTCTTGCCAGATGGTGGCGGCGTCTTATCGGACAGCGACGGCGACGACGACAGCGTCTTGCCAGACGGTAGTGACGGCGGCGGCAGCGTCTTGCCAGACGACGGCAGCGGCGTCTTGCTGCGCGGTGGCGGCGGTAGGGACGCGCTGCTAATAGTGGCCATCTTCTGCGGCTTTTCCGGCGTCTTCTTCAGGGTTAAGGCGCGTCGAACTTCCTCGTGAGAATGCATATGTTCCTTTAGTACGCTCTTTGACAGGAATTGCTTGTCGCACAGGTAACACATAAAGAAAACCTTCTCCTTGTCCGCTTGCGCCTTCTTAAGTCGGGAACTGAGATTCAGATTCTCGAAATAGTTCTCCTCGTCGGAGTCCCTCTCAGTGTTCGTCCGACGAGCCAGTTTGCGTTTGCTCCTCCTGGTCTCGCCCTGTGATGAATCTTGCTCCATCGTCTCGTCGATCTTCAGCGGTTCCGGTATTTCCAGCTGTTTGTTTTGATCTTGTTCAATTTGGGTATCCGACTCGTTGGACGCTTTCGGACGTTCCGCTGCGTCGTCCTGTTGTTCTGATTCCATAGGTGGTGGGGTGGTTTCCATTGTGTCTGTCGGTGTAGAGAGGTTGGTTACGGGCGTCGAGTGTTGTAGCTGTATGATGTAATCGTGCTCGTCTGCCGGAATCGCATCTGCACAACTCCGAATGACAGTCTCGTCTTTGTTAGATTCCGGATTCCTAGATGCTTCGATGAGATTCAAGTCATCTGTGTCCTTTGCACCGGTCAGTTCCTGCTGCAATTCCTCGCCGATGCTTTCGCTAATTTCCTGTGTAATCTTCTGCAAATTATTCTGTTTTGCACCTAAAGAAGAATTTCAATGTGTTACAGAATGCTTAGGTCGATAATCAGAACACGAGTAATATTATGAAACAACATTTAATATAAATAAAGAAAGATATTGCGAAAGCTCTGAAGATAAATCAATAGGAAAAAAATAAATCAATAGAAATCGTTGCTGGATGTTGGGTGCAAATGTTAAAAAACATGTATAATAAATGTTTAAATCGGCTGAGGAGATAAAATTGTTCAATGACGTAATACCCGTATCAGACTATAAATTGGAAACTAAGGATTGCAGATTGAAGATTGGAACTTGACCAATTAGAACAAAGCAAGCCAAGACTGAAGTTTGTTGATTCGTCCAAATCTAATTTTCAAGCAGCAATTTTCAATCTCTAATTCTAATTTGATACGGGTTTAAAGTACGCACTAGATTTATTCTCCAGACTTTCAATGTATACGTAAAGTATACATTGAATTATATAGCAATCTATTACGTTGAATCGACTTTTTATCATATGAATAATATTCTAGTATTAATTATTTCCCTACAATAATATTTTAGAATTAACTATTTCCCTACAAAAATTCCATAAATCTTGATAGAATCAAATAAATTGATAGAAAAAAATTTGTTGTAAGTGCCGCAAGAAATACTGCATCAACCAAAAGTCGAATCTGAACTTTCCCCTGTTCACCGATTCGGATGCCGTAACAATTCGACTTACGTTACTTAAGTTTTTAATCCTTACAATTTAAGCAGTTTTTGGATGACTTTTACAATCTTTGAACTAAAACTTTTTCATGTCAAAATATGAATTGGTAAGAAACATATCTCCGCCGCGCTACTATGGCTTCCCGGATCATACGCGATAACTATTTGTTTAAATTGATTTTTTTTTATTTAATTATACAAACTTTTTTTACTTAATCATATAGAAACTGTTTTGTATCAAGAATCATGAAAAAACAAATTTATTTATTTTTAGTAAAATAATGCAAAAACCTGAAGTGTGTGTGTGTGTGTGTGGTGTGTGTGTGGTGTGTGTGTGTGTGTGTGTGTGTGTGTGTGTGTGTGTGTGTGTGTGTGTGTGTGTGTGTGTGTGTGACAGGAGGGCGAATAAAATAAGAAATGCTCGTGTGCATGTAGATTAGATCATCAGATCGTCAGATCGATATTTTTCCAATATTTAATGCTCGACTTCTCTACTTTTTTTATAATTTTACCTTAGTAATATGGTATTGGGTAAGGTGGAATTTTTCTTTATTGTTTGTCAATTTGTTTATATAAATAAACAAAGTTAACTCTTTCAAGCACACATTTTTCTATCCATCGGTTTTTCATGGAAATTAATATATAGAGGTTTTTTGGGTCGCTGATTACGAATCCCGCGGTAGATTTTTACCATTCTTTTTCAAAATGGCTGGTCCAATATGGCGGTTCATAATTTTTGGGGTGTTTTATCGGTTTTTTATGAATATTGGTATACGAGAGTTTTCCGGGTCTCTCATTACGAATCCGTCATTAGATTTTTATAGTTTATTTTCAAAACGGCGGATCCAATATGGCGACTCAGAGTTTTGAAGAATTTTGGGGTTTTATGTCGATTTTTTACAAAAATTGGTATACAGGGGTTTTGTAGGTGGCTGATAATGTATACGTCATCAGATTTTTTATATTCACATACGTTATGTTGAATCTGTCATTGAATGTGAATGTCAAAAATCTGATGATTATATCGTATGTATACATTATCCTATAACACCCTATAAAACGACCTATAAAACCCCTATATACCAATTTTTGTAAAAAATCAACAGAAAACCTCAAAATTCCTCAAAACTCCGAGCCGCCATATTGGACCCGCCATTTTGAAAGTGAACTATAAAAATCTAATGGCGGATTCGTAATCAGAGGCCCGAAAAAACCCCGTATACCAATATTTATAAAAAACCGATGAAACACCTAAAAAATTGTGAGCCGCCATATTAGATCCGCCATTTTGAAAAAGAATTATAAAAATCTACCAAGGGAATCATAATCAGCGACCCAAAAAACCCTTTTATACCAATTTCCTTTTATATCAATATTCATAAAAAACCAATGAAAAATGTGTGCCTGAAAGAGTTAACTTTGTTTATTTATATAAACAAATTGACAAACAATAAAGAAAAATCCCACCCTGCCCAATACTCTTGAATATATTACTAAGATAAAATTACAAAAAAAAGTAGGGAAGTCGAACATTAAATATTGGAAAAATTTAAAAAGTTTCTTGGAAATAGGTGGTACTCTGAGAGTACCACCATGCAGCAAAGGGTTAATATACACAGGCTGAGTAAAATAAACTATAAATATCTCGAAAACAAATTTTGGAAAAAATATTTTAAATAAAAATTATTTGGTATTAAAAGATATATATTGCACAAGCCTACTACATAAACTTATTTAGTTTATATAATATATATGCAATATTTGTATACTTATATATTGAAAATTTATATTGCTTTAATGATAAAATCAAATACATTGGTGCTGTTGTCGTTAGTGAACATCGATACATATGCGTATCTTCGTACACACTGATGCTAATGTTGGTACGACGGTAACTTCGAATGCTTGTAACTCAAAGAATTCTTAACTTGAAAAAATGTTTATCTATAATATTTTAAAAACATCTCGATGCCAAGATACAAAAATAGGCAATAAAAAATATAGGTTTCTATTTAAGATTTTTCTGTTGATTTTTATTTCATATCGTAGCAACTACTTAAAGTCACTAAAATAACTATCAAATACATCTTTAATACCAAACAATATTTATTTGAAACATTTTTTTCCTAAAATGTGTTGTTTTCGATATATTCAGGGGTACATTTTTCGTACCTTGTATATTAGTATAAAATAAATACATTTGAATATTTACTTTTTAATTTTTTATTTGAAAAATTGTTTAAGTTTCTGTATATTTTTAAGTTTTCTTTTTACTAATTTGTATGGAAAAGATGAATAATAATAATAATAATAATAATAGTAATAAAATTGCTACAGGGCGCTACTATAAGTTTTTCAGATTGTGTGTATGTGTGTGTTAACTTTACTAGATTTTTATTTAAGTTTCTTTACTAATGTTTCCATTTTACTCAATTATTCGATAACACAAAGTAATCTAACACTCTCTTTAGTAATCTACTAAAATCATCTAGCAAACTTCGGGAAATTTATAAGACAATTAATATTTACGAGAAGTTGTATTGAAAATAATATTAAAATATTACTCGCAAGATAGAGGCTCACAATTTGATATGATAAGTTACTACATGTAAATACTTCACATGTGTATTCAAAGTTTGAAAAGTAAAACCGGCACGCACGTTACACTATCAACCAATTCAACTTTCTGCCTGATTTTAATTATCGCATCCAACATTCAACGATGTTTACTAGTTTATTTTTTATTAAATTCAATATTTATAAATACTTAATTGATAATATTAAAGTACAAACAAGTAATATAGAAAGCTTTGAGATTAAAAATTAAAAACCACAAATAGACTTATAAGAGCCGAGCACAGGAATTTGTTGCTTAAAAAATTTACATTATTAATATTATATATTATTATTATTATAAATTTATATTAGTAATTTTTACAAAATGTAAGAATTATTACATATAAATATTTCGATTCTCAAGCGTTTAAACTTTCTTCAGTTTAAAATAAATTTCACCTCCAAGTTTGTTGATGTGGTTGACGAAGGTACGATTTTTGTATTCTTTTCTTCCAGATAGTACAATAAGTTCCTAAAGGATTCTTGAAGTATTCTTCTTTCTTGAATACAATTCTTTAAGAATTGGTAAGAGTATACTTTAAGAACAACTAAGGTAGTTACATGCACTATAATTGTAATTTCTAACAACTTCTTAAAGTATTCATTTTGAATTACTTATAGATCAACAGACGTATACTTTATAATTTTTTGATATGATATGTATTACTTTTTTCTAACAGAAACTATTCGTAAATGTGACAGCGTTTGCTGGATTTTACTTGAAAATTTTAGATTACTTTATTCCAATGTTACATCACATTTAAAAATTCTCATTGGTACTATTGGGACTCAAACTTGGACTTGAGATACCTCTGGATTATGCTTATAGTATGTCTGTTGCTTTAGGCACTACACCACTTCTTCAATCAATATAAACGTCTTATATTTTGTCTATGTGTTGTAATTAACACAGTAATATAATTTTTTAATATGATTTAATTTTAATAAAAATTATATTTTTAATTATATTTTTAATTATATTTTTAATTATATTTTTAATTATAAATTATATTTTAATAAAAATTATATTTTTCGTACTTTTATTGTTAATCCTTAGCTAATGAGGTGAGGTCTACAAAATCACGCACATTCCATTATCTTTAAATTTTTATAAGTATTTTTTTTTATCGTTAACTGTTATTAAATAGACAAAGTCATAAAAGACTATATAGACTTTTGAATAATTATAAAAGAGTACAATTAAAAAATAGAAAAAATCCATCTTATCACACATATGATTTAATTAAATTTATGTATAAATATATAAATCAACGCTTATTATAAGCGAATATCTGTCTAATGTAACCATAAAATGTAAAATAAAATAGTCATAAAATTAGCTAATAATAATTTCTCACGAATTCTCACAGTATCCCAAATAATAATTCGCGAAATATTCATATAATGAAGAAATATTCATGAATGAAATATTCATTATAATGAAGTTTCAAGGAATATTTTAGAATGAATTAGACTCGGATAATTCTTCAGGAATTCTTCAGATATTCATTTTTCTAATTCTTTAGGTATTCTTTAAAATGAACTTCTTTAAAATGAATTCTTTATGAACTTCTATTCATCTCTGTACTACCTGGGTTTTTTCCCACCTTTCTGAGCCTTGTTATATCTATCACTATACTTATATCATCACTTCATCAGATGTTATTTAAGATTGTCAACCTCTCAGGCACTAGAAAATGCTCTGATAGTTCAGTAACAATAGCTCCAATTTTTTATGAATTTGAACAGCCTCTCCATTCTAGGTGATATTTTGGTCTTGTAAATTTACCTTTTCCAATCACTAATCTTTTATATAGCGAAATTTATTTTATACCAAAGGAAGTCTAAATGCTTGAGGACTAAAACGTTTATATATGTGTGATAATTTTTATATTTTATAAAAATATTATAATAATATACATTTATTATGCATAACAAATTCGTATGCTTGCTCTTATAATATCTATTTGTGGTTTCTGATGATATTAAAACCCATAAGTAATAAAGTATTTCAAAATGAAATACATCTTACATATCTATAAACAACATAAAAAAAAGATAGAAGAATAAAAAGTTTAATATTGAACAATCTTTACACAATCATGTAAGTTATTTCTTTCATAAATAATGGTGTATACATAAACACATTAATTACTTTCTTAATTGCACATTAAATGCTATATAACACTGGAAATTGTAAATCTATTATCCAGTACATAAAAAGCCCTTGTGTATTAAGCGCCCACTGAGCAATAATAGTACTGAATACACAACTCACAAATAGCATATCAAGAAAATAAATAATACAATAGCACATTTAAAAAGTATAAAATTTATATATTACACATCTCAAGTTTTCTTTCCAGCACACATTGAGAAAATAGAAAGTTTATACATCATACAATTCAAAAAGAGATTGGAAAAAGTATGAATCTTGTAAATACCTGATTACTTATGGATACCCTTAATAATTATTGGCTCATCGATTGTCTCAACTCACTTTGTTGTACTCCCTCTGTCTGCTCCAATTTTTCAACTTGTAAAAGTACCAGCTGTCCATCTTTCAGGATGTTTTTGTCATCTTCTGACTGTACTGATAGTTCTGTGACTTCAGATTCGTAACCGGCACCATCACTTAACTCACCTATAGCATCATTTCTCTCAGCATCTAACTGTACTTCAACCTCGTTGAAAAACAATTCCTCTTTTATATTCATACCAAGCAGTCTCTCTCTCAGAACACCATCTGCTTGTTCCACTTGCAATTTGAATTCATATGCTGACTCTAACTTGTCAGCACAGATGCAACACAACTGTGCTGGTAGACCATCACCTGGTAACATCTGAACAAAATATATGGTTTGGTAATTCTTGAAAGAAACATCATTGCGATTACAACATATATATCATTGATATTTGTAGGCAGATGGACAAAATTAGCTTGACATAATGTTGCAATAAAGTATACAGTGTATGCAGCATACAGTGTACCATTATACTTAACCATTATATTTAACAAATTACAATTTATAAGGGACAAGGACAAGCGCACAGGATTGGGGACGGTCATCATTTCGACACACATTCGGAATTCAAAGGAGAAAAACATTGCAATAGGTGATTAAAGCTTGCATTGCTTTCTAACCTCCAAATTGCGTGTCTAACCTTAACGTTGGCGAAGCTCATCGCCTTTGTCGAGAGGGACGCGTCCTCATTATCTTGAAAAAGGTCCCGCATCCCTAGGTTGCCAACCAAACATACACGGCACATCTCCTCCACTGTAGCCACAAATGCATCCTCGTTCTGCTGTGGCGGTGGTTCCGACGTATCTATCTCCACGGCGTCCATGTTTTGTTTGGGGGACCGCGACTCGTAGCCACTTGGTGGAGTTGGACTGCGATAACGCCAGACGAGGAAGCAGATCCCATAACACGCTCCCTGCGCATATGGAAACCTGCGCGACCGGCGGCTGAGTACGGATCCTTACTCCTTTTAGCTACGCGATACAAAGGGTGCATATAATACTACAGTCGGCTGATTTAAGGATCGTCTACAATACAAGCTGCGTTCTAATTTAAGGCGCAAATTCATGGAACGCTGAACCAACGTCGAACCTTATGGCTCCTGCCCACAGGACGCGGCAACGCTTACTGCGTAGCGGAAGTTCATGCGACAGCCAATCAATATGCTGCTTTCCATAATAGGTGTATATCTGTTGGACACGGGGCAATTGGACACAGTCCAATCACAAGTCGCTGTTCCAAGGGACCCTACAAATGTCTCTACTCACACGGTGCTATGATTGGCTGTGTCCAAATGCACCGTGTCCAAGTGCACCGCTCCCTTCCATAATAACTTTGTAGCTCTCACGGAAAAACAACATATTGATTGGCTGTTGCGCGAACTTCCGCCGCGCGGCAAGCGTTGCGCGTTCTGTGTGCAGAAGCCATTACTCTTATGGCTCCTGCACACAGGACGCGGTAATGCTTGTCGCGAGGCGGAAATTCGCGCGACAACTAATCAATATGTTGCTTTCCGTAATAACCTTCTAGCTCTTACGGAAAAGCAACATATTGATTGGCTGTCACACGAAATTCCGCCGCGTGGCAAGCATTGCCGCGTCCTGTGGATAGGAGCCATTATCACATGAGACATATTTTGAGCGGAAAAGTGGTATGGGGAATTATAAAATATTAATTTTTAACGGTATTTATTAATTAAAATGCTTATATTCAACAGATAAGCTGAAAAGATAAACATATTAGTAAAAATTGCAGTAAATTAAGTTAATACAATTTTAAAAAATAAATACAGATGTTTATTTGTCACCAAACCGTTCCGCTTTTCCGCGCAAATTGTGCCCCATGTAATATAAGGAGAAATAAAGTCGCGGAACAAGCGTGGAAAAATCAATTGTCACAAGTTGTCATAAGTTATCACAAGTTGTTCAACTTAACCGCCGTTATATTAAGACGTGTTCAAACACGTTCGGACCTGATATTTTTTTGGAATTCATACTTTGGATGAAAAACAATATAGAAAAGTTTTGGGCCTTCCGCTTTTTCAACGTACGGGAAGAATTGATTCAATTCGCGGAACGCGGAAATCTAGTAAGATTTTGTCTTCCACATTTCCGCGCTTCATGTAATGGCATCCTAATGGCACCCCCAGAGCCAGTCGAACATGTTAAGGATGCCATAGGGTGCTTCCGAAATGTCCAGGTTGGGTTGGATTGAGTTAGTTCCACTACAGTATCCGTTACATATACTATAGTGGAACTCGGTTTTTCAATGACTAGAATGATGGCGTTCTGAACCCAGCCCGGAATTACGTGAGTATTGCTTCAGGCTGGATTCTGCCTAATTGCCTACCTAGAGACCTAAACGAAGGACATTGACGCATTGACATGTACATATTTCAATGGAGGAGAGCTTTAACACTCACATTTACACATAAGCATCACAATGATGTTCCTGCAATAGGCATATAACTTGCAGGACTAAGGTAACTACTATAGTGGAACTAACTCAACTCGACCCAACTCTGGGTATTTCGGAAGTACCCATTACATGAAGCCCGGAAACATAGAAGACAAAATCTTACTAGATTTCCGCGTTCCGCGAATTGAATCAATTCTTCCCGTACGTTGAAAAAGTGGAAAAGCGGAAGGCCCAAAACTTTTCTGTATTGTTTTTTCATCCAAGGTATGAATTCCAAAAAAATATCAGGTCCGAACGTGTTTGAACACGTCTTAATATAACGGCGGTTAAATTGAACAACTTGTGATAACTTATGACAACTTGTGACAATTGATTTTTCCACGCTTGTTCCGCGACTTTATTTCTCCTTATATTACATGGGGCACAATTTGCGCGGAAAAGCGGAACGGTTTGGT